TAAGTTCTCCTGTCTCAGGTATTGCTTCACAGAAATGTGAGAATGGACCAATACATGGGAGAATTGGACCATGCTGGCTATCATAAGGATTTTAGCTTTAATTCTGAGAGGTTTGAGAGCCATTAGATGGTGTTTGTTTGTTTGTTTTGTTTTGAGACGTAGTGTCACTCTTATTGCCCAGGCTGGAGTGCAATGGTGTGATCTCGGCTCACCGCAACCTCCGCCTCCTGGGTTCAAGCAATTCTCCTGCCTCAGCCTCCTGAGTAGCTGGGATTACAGGCATCCACCACCATGCCCGACTAATTTTGTATTGTTAGTAGAGATGGGGTTTCTCCATGTTGGTCAGACTGGTCTTGAACTCCAGACCTCAGGTGATCCCCCCACCTTGGGCTCCCAAAGTGCTGGGATTATAAGTGTGAGCCACTGCGCCCAGCCTGTTTTTTTTATTATCTCTTTGAGAGCAATTATATAGTTTTAAGCAAAGGAAAGACACAATCTGACTTCTGTTTCAAAGGATTACCTTGGTTGCTATGCTGAAAAAGGACTTTAGGGGCAAGGTGAAAACAGGGAAACATGTTAGGAGTCTATTGCAATAATCCAGGTGAAAGTTGATGGTGGCTCAAGCCAGAAAGGTGGTCAGACTCTGGATATATTTTGAAAGTAGAGGCAACAAGACTTCCTGATGGATGAGAAGGGTATGTAAGAGAGTCAAACTATTTACATAAAATGTGTGTAATCTTTAATTGAGTTAGGGAAGACTATGGATGGTGCAGCATTGGGAGGGGAAATCAGAAGTTCAGTTTTGGACATGTGAAATTTGAGATGTCTATTACTGGAAATATTAAACGGCAATTGGTTATACCAGTTTGGAGTTCAGGGGAAAGGCCAGGGCTGTAGATAGATATTTGGAATTTGTCAGCACATGGATGATATCTAACACTATGAGTTAAGGAGGACACCAAAGTAACAAATACACCCAGAGAAGAAAAGAGGCCCAAGGACTGAACTTGTGGCACTCCAAGCAAGATTAAAAGGTTGGGTTTTGAGAAAGAACCAATAAGCATGCTGATAAATGACCAGTGAGGTTGGAGGGAAACCATGAGAGCGTGGTACGGGGAAGCCAAGGAGAGAAAGTTTTTCCAGGAGGAGGAAATGATCAACTGTAACAAGTACTGCTGATTGGCCAAGTAAAATTAGTATTGACAACTGTTTGCTGGATTTACCAATGACTTTGACATGGGCAATTTCTGTGGTATGGTGGAAATGAAAAGTTTGATCGGAATACATTTGATAAAGAATGGGAAAAAAGGGCATTAGCAACAGAAATTATAGACAATCCTTTTGAGTTTTTCTGTAAAGAGAGCAGAGAAATGGGTTGTTAGCTGGAGTGGGAGAGGAGATCAAGATATTTTAAGATGAGATAAATAATGGCGTATTTATTTGCTATTGAGAATATACAATAGAGAGGAGAAACCTGAAGATTGTAAGAGTCAGGAAAGAATTGGTGGATACACACACACACACACACACACACACATATATATATATATATACACACACACACTTTTTTTTTTTTTTTTGAGACAGTTTTGCTCTGTCACCTAGGCTGGAGTGCAGTGGCATGATCTTGGCTCACTGCAACCTCTGCCTCCCAGGTTCAAGCAATTCTCCTGCCTCAGCCTCCTGAGTAGCTGGGACTACAGGTGTGCACCACCACGCCTAGCTAATTTTTTGTATTTTTAGTAGAGACGAGGTTTCGCCATGTTGGTCAGGCTGATCTTGATCTCCTGATCTTGTGATTCGCCTGCCTCAGCCTCCCAAAGTGCTGGGATTACAGGTGTGAGCCACCGCGCCTGGCCAGTGGAGCTATGTTCTTGGGTAAGCAAGAAGAGATGGGCTCTGTTGTCCATTTGAGGGTTGGTCTTACATAGGATTATAAACAATTCACCTACTATAGTTGGAAGGAAAGAAGAATCGGTGCATATAGATGTTGGTAGATTGGTAGGTGGACATCTGTAGAACTTCACTTCTGGAAGCTTTTATTTATCCCATTTAAATAGTATTTAATATTAAATACTATTAAAATTAAATCATAAATATTTATGAAATATTAGCAGTAAGTATTTCACTTCGGCTGAAAGTGAAGATGAGGAATAGTTCTACAGATTTGAAGAAAGGAGGAATTGTCTTAGTCCATTATGGCCACGATAAAATACCTTAGACCAGGTAATTTATAAACAATAGAGGGCAGGTACAGTGGCTCATGCCTATAATCCCAGCATTTTGGGAGGCTGAGATGGGCGGATCACGAGGTCAGGAGTTTGAGACCAGCCTGGCCAACATGGTGAAACCCCATCTCTACTAAAAATACAAAAATTAGCCGGGTGTGGTGGCACACACCTGTAGTCCCAGTTACTCAGGAGGTTGAGGGAGGCTGAGGCAGAAGAATCACTCAAACCCGGGAGGCAGAGGTTGCAGTGAGCTGAGATCCTGCTATTGCACTGCAGCCTGGGTGACACAGCAAGACTCCATCTCAAACAAACAAACAAAAACAATAGAAATGTGTTGCTCACAGCTTTGGAGACAGGGAAGTTCAAGATCAAGGAGCATCTAGTGAGGGCCCATTCCTCAAAAATGGTGCCTTCTAGTTGTGTCCTCACATGGCAGAATGAAGGAACAAGCTTCCTTAGGGTTCTTTTATTAAGGGCACTAATCCCATTCATGAGGATGGAGCCCTCAAGACTTAATCACCCCCCAAAGGCTCCACTTCTGAATACTGTCACACTAAGGGTTAAGTTTCAACATACAGATTTTGGAGGGACACAAATCACAGCAGAAGGTATTAAACAGTGGTTTAGCAGTATGGAGGAATGAATGGACTGGGCAGATACAGTTCAATTGCCAGGTAATATTAAGAGCTCATTTCAATAATAATAGCAGGTAAACATATTGGGTTCTTATTATATCCTAAGCATTGTTCTAAAAGGCTTACATATATCAGCTTATGAGCTGGCAATTACCCTTAGGATAAGAAAACAGACATTGTCACTTGTTTGCATCCACATAGGTAAGTGGTGGAGGCAGGAGATGAAGCCAGGCTGCTTGACTACAGAGTGTAGGCTCTTTCTGCTACACTACCAAATATTTGTGAATGACTGAAGGAAGGAAGGATAAATTAAGGAAGAACAAATAATCAATGCTGTCTCCATAATCTGTGGCTTTTTGTTAAGTCATTTCTGCCACTCATATATCCTAAATGGTTGCCCCAGATCTTATAAAGGGGACCATGTGTGGAGGAGGAGCTATAGAGGTACAATGTGGCCTAAATATCTGGTAATTCAGGCTTGAATCCCAGCTCTTTTCTCACAAGCTATGTTACCCTAGCCAAGTAACTTAATATTTCTGAGTCTCAGTTTCCTTATCTTTAAAATGAGAAAAACATATGCCTTATAGCATTTGTAAAGAAAATTAATAAAATCATGAGCCAGGCACAGTGGCTCATATCTATCTAATCCCAGCACTCTGGGAGGCTGAGGCAGAAGGATTGCTTGAGCTCAGGAGTTCGAGGCTGCAGTAAGCTGTGATTGCACCACTGTACTCAAGCTTGGGCAACAGAGTGAGACCTTGTGTAAAAAAGCAAAAACAAAAATCATATATGTAAGCATGTAAACTGCCTGGTACAAAGTAAGATCTCAAGAAAGTTAGTTTTTCTCTTCCTCCAGTGAGTTGCCCAGGACTTCAGTACCCAACCCAGAACAGACCCTCCTTTGCACTTGCCGGTTTTACTGCCAGGACTGGCATATCTGCTGTCAACCCAGTTAAGTCTCCTGGTTCCATCACAGGTGGAGAGGGAACCCCCTCTTGTACTCTACCCTTTGAAACCCTGTGCTACTTAATCTTTTCTGTCTCCCATACCCCTTTGCTGTTAGACTTCCCTTAGATATGAGGACCTTCCAGAGAGGGTCCTATGGCAACACCAAACCTCCCCTGCCCAAATCGGCGCTGAGTCAACTCCTGGGGTTCCCAAACCCAGATGGTGGCCGCAGCTGAGTCTTGCCTCTTCTGATGTGTCCTGTCCTGCCTTAACACACTGTCCAAAAGAGGCAGCAAGAGTGCACCTAATTTTAATATCACTTATACAAAATGCCAGACATACGAAATTGTTATCACAAGGAAAAATTAACAGCATATCACAAGTGTACTCCAAAGGATTTTTCCTGGAGCACCTTTTTCCAGGAATACCTGTTTTACAAAGTAAGGCACATCGTTTTGTATCCTAACCATTAGGCTCAAGGCAAGTAGTGGTCTTTCTTTGCCTTTTTACATTTTTATGATTGTGACACTTAATAAATTGCTGAGCTTCAATTAGGTCTGAACATAATGGGTTCCTAAAAAGCAAACACACGGGTCTCCTGTATGTCCTTTTGATAGCCGCTCATGAAAATCTACTTTTCTCATAATTTGGATAAACTGAAGGCCACTTTGATTTTATATTGCAAATGATAGTAATCCAAGAATTGAGCCTGAATTTTAGAAATCTGTGAAAATCAGTTCCGTACAATTGAGTCACCACGCAAACAAATCTTGTATTTTCTTTTTTCTCCCTTTTTTTTTTTTTTTTTTTGAGAAGGAGTCTTGCCCTGTTGCCTAGGCTGGAGTGTAGTGGCGCGATCTCGGCTCACTGCAACCTCCGCCTCCCGGGTTCAACCGATTCTCCTGCCCCAGTCTCCCGCGTAGCTGGGATTACAGGCACGCGCCTCCATGCCCAGCTGATTTTTGCATTTTCAGTAGAGATGGGGTTTCACCATGTTGGTCAGGCTGGTCTCGAACTTCTGACCTCGTGATCCGCCCGCCTCGGCCTCCCAAAGTGCTGGAATTACAGGCGTGAGCCACCGCACCCGGCCTACAAATCTTGTTTTTACTTAACCACTTCCGGCTTCCTGCAAACCAGAAGCAGGAGCCAGAAGCGCGGGAAAGGTTTGCGGGGTCTGCGGTTGCGCAGAAGCCCAGCGGCTGCTGAACCCTGCCCCAGGCACCCTGGGTGCCCCGCCCCGCCGGCGGTGCGTCTTTCTGCTCGCAGAACGTTCTGGAAGTTTGGTAAACCCTGAGCAGTCTCTGAGGGCCTGGTGAGCAGGTGGGTTTGCAGCGCTGGGGGATGAGGCCTCAGCAGACCTGTCTCTTCATGTTTTTCTTTGTTCTTCTCCGGCATAGTGCGCTCTGACTTGCCGAGCTCAGAGCTTTACCTCAGGGCTTTGGCAGACGAGGGGAGGAGATCCTGCCCACCCTATTTTCTCCTGGAAAATCCGGTGTGGAAAGGGGTCCCTCGGGGTTTTCCCTGTCAGAAGCCCTGTCACCCACCTGCGAGTGAATTTTATTTGCTTTAGGCTTTGTTGGTCACTCCGAAAAGTAAACAATGGTAGAGACCTTGAAGATCCTTGTCGGACAGCCCCTCACTGGACCCGTGAGGAGACTGAGTAGGGAAAGTGACTTGCTGGAGATGGTAGGGCATTGTGAAACTTAAATTTACAAACACTCTAGAGCTTGGAAAAAACAAAACAGTAACAACAAAAGCCCAGAATACCAGGGCCTTGGAACTGGCAAAGGTTTAAGAGGCCATTGGGTCCAAGCTTTTTGTTTTTATTTTTAGTTTAACTTTTATTTTAGGTTTAGGAGTCCGTGTGCAGGTGTGTTACATAGGTAAACTCGTGTCACGGGGGCTTGTTGTCCAGATTCTGTCGTCCCCCAGGTGCCCATTAGTGATCGTCCCTCCTCCACCCTCGGGCCTCCCGGACCCCCGCCCCGCGCCTGCCGCTCCCCTCTGTCCCTGCGAGCTCAGCCTTCAGCTCCAGTTTAGAAGCTTTTTGTTTTCAGGTGAGGACGCCGCCCAACCAGAGGTGACGTGATTTGCCCAAAGCCACACAGTCCCTGCTTGGCTGCTGGTCGAGGAGCTTTTCCCCAGAAATACTGAGGAGGCGCTGCCCCAGTCCCAGGTTTCTGATTCATTCCTCGCCTTTAACAGGGACTTGGGCCACGACTGACCCCAACTCCTTTCTCACTTATTTGTGCACGTGATTACTTTACTTCTCTTAGCTTTAGTTGTTTAAATTGTTTTTAAAACCTATGTATAATGGTGTGAAGATTTAAATGAATATTTACATATTACTAGATTTAAATGACTATTTATAGATTACTAACTGATAGACGCATACATATCTACATATATACCAGTAACTACTTCAAAAAGTTCTTGTAACCTTTGCATACATGTATTAATAGCTATATGAGTGTATTAGTAATTGTGTGTAGGGGGGAGTTATAGAAGTTGAAGCCCTTCCCCCAGCCAACTTACCATTTACTTATTCACAAATCTTTGAGTGTCTACTGAGTGCCAGGTGCTGAGTAAGGTAAAATAGAATCAGAATGTGTCCCTGCTCTCATGGAGCTAGTTAACTTGTCGTTCATTCATTCATGCAATAAATGAGGAAATTAGAGAGCAGCTGGTTTCCACTCACCAGGAAGAACTTTCTAATTATTAAAGTTGTTGAAAAGTATAATGAAATCACCTTGGGAGATATTAACTTACCAATCACTGAAAGTGACTTTCTCGCTTTCTTTTCTTTTCTTTTTTTTTTTAGACAGAGTCTCGCTCTATCACCCAGGCTGGAGTGCAGTGATGGAATCTCAGGTCACTGCAACCTCCACCTCCTGGGTTCAAGTGATTCTCCTGCCTCAGCCTCCCGAGTTGCTGGGATTACAGGTGCACACCACCACACCTGGCTGACTTTTGTATTTTTAGTGGAGATGGGGTTTCGCCATGTTAGCCAGGCTGGTCTCGAATTCCTGGCTTCAAGAGATCCACCTGCCTCCGCCTCCCAAAGTGTTGGGATAAGGGTGTGAGCCACCACACCCATCCTGAAAGTGACTTTCATTTGGGTTAGTTGGTTTCTCAATTTTGCTTTGAACTGCTTTTGCATTAGTAGTAACATGGATAATATAAACTTGGTCGACATTAAGACATTTATGATTTAGTAAGGACAATGAAATACATTTATAAACAACTGTATTGGGCAAAATATGGTTTAAGTGATCAGTAAAGGTACGATTACAGGTGTGAGCCACCGCACCTGACTTTCATTTGGATTAGTTGGTTTCTCAATTTTGCTTTGAACTGCTTTTGCATTAGTAGTAACATGGATAATATAAACTTGGTTGACGTTAAGAAATTTATGATTTAGTAAGGACAATGAAATACGTTTATAAACAACTATATTGGGCAAAATGTGGCTTATGTGATCAATAAAGGTGTAAGACACATTCTAAATAAGGAGAAGTCTCAGTTTGAGGAGATCAGGGATGGTTTCTGGAGGAGGCAGAATTCTAATGGGCCTTGAAGTAGGACTTTTAAAATAGACTTCATTTTTTACAACCATTTTAGATTTACAGAAAAAAATGAGAAAATACTGCAGAGTATTCCCACATACCCTATATCCAATTTCCCCCATTGTTAACATCTTACACCCATTGCCTTGTGTTATTAAAATATTAGTATGGTACATTTGTTACAATTAATGAACCAGTATTGCTATGTTACTGTTAGCTGAAGTCCGTAGTTTATTCAGATTCTCTTAGTTTTTAACCTTGGTTTTTACCTTAGGCTTTTCTTGTGTTCCAGGATCCCAATGAAGATAACACATTACGTTTAGTTGTAATGTTTCCTTAGGCTCCTCTTGGCTGTGACAGTTCTTCAGACTTACTTGATCTTGGTGACCTTGAAGGCTTTGAGAATTACTGGTCTGATAATTTGTAGATGCCCTACTAATGGAATTTGTTTGAGGTTTTTCTCATGATAGGACCGGGTTATGGGTTATTGAAAGGAAGACTACATCATATCAAAAGTACATGCTATCAACATGATTTATTACTGTTGATGTAGACTTTGACCACTTGGCTGAAGTAGTGTTTGTCAGGCTTCTCTAATGCGAAGCTACTTCCCACTCACCCACTTTGTGTACTGTATATACTCTTTGGAAGGAAGTCATATGTGCAGCCACACCTAAGGAATGGGGAGTTATATTCTCCCCCCACCGCACTGTTTAATATTTTTAGAGACAGGGTCTTGCTGTGTTGCCCAGGCTGGAATACAGTGGTTATTCACAGGTGCAAACATAATGCACTGCAGCCTCAAACTCTTGGCCTTAAGCAGTTTTCCTGCTTCAGTCTCCTGAGTAGCTTGGATTATAGGTGTGTGCCACTGTGCCCAGCTCTGTGTTCCTGTTGTTGATGTTGGAGTATATATACATAAATTATTTGGAATTATTCTGCACAGATTTGTCTCTTCTCCATTTATTGGTTTGTTCAAACATTTATACCAGTGTAGACTCATGGATATTCATTTTATACTTTGGATTATAATGCTATTTTGCTCAAATTGTTACAGCTTTAGCCATTGGGAGCTCTTTCAGTTGGTTCCTCTGCTCTTATGACATACCCCATCAATGCCATCTGTGTGGGGGTTTTTTGTTTGTGTGGTTTTTTTTGTTTGTTTTTTTTTTTCTTGAGATGGAGTCTCCCTCTGTTGCCCAGGCTGGAGTGCAGTGGCGCGATCTCGGCTCACTGCACGCTCCACCTCCTGCTTTCACACCATTCTCCTGCCTCAGCCTCCCGAGTAGCTGGCACTACAGGCGCCTGCCACCACGCCTGGCTAATTTTTTTGATTTTTTAGTAGAGACGGGGTTTCATCGTGTTAGCCAGAATGGTCTCCATCTCCTGACCTCATGATCCGCCCACCTCAGCTTCCCAAAGTGCTGGGATTACAGGCATGAGCCACCGTGCCCAGCCTGTTTTTGTTTTTAAGTACTTTCTTACTTTTTGGCACTGTAAAATTCTCTGAACTCATCTTGTATGTTTCCTGTCCCAGTCCTAGAATCAGCCATTTCTCCAAGGAGCCCTGCTTCCTTTTTTGGAGAATGCTATTTAGAAACCAAAATCTGGTGCTAGGTATAATTGTTGCTAGCACCCAGGTGCTAGGGTGTCGTTTGTTTTAGGCCCTTTCAGCCAACAGAGTAAAGAAATATATGTGTATACTAATCTGGGTATATACACATACAGTCATGCATTGCTTAATGACGGGGATGTGTTCTGAGAAATGCATCATTAGGTGATTTTGTCGTTGTGAGAACATCATAGAGTGTAATTACACAAACTTAGATGGGGTAGCCTACTAGACATCTAGACTATATGGTATAGCCTGTTGCTCCTGGGCTGCAAATGTGTATAACATGTTAATGTACTGAATACTGTAGGCAACCTGCATATCTAAACATATCTGTAAAAAAAGTAAAATACAGTATTGTCATCTTGTGGCACCACTAGTCATATATGAAGTCCATTGTTGACTGAACAGTCAATATGCAGAACATGACTGTATCTATAAAATATTTCTGTGTATATTCATCTGTATCTATATTAAGTTAACAATGAGTTCATACTGTGACCTCCAATTCTAACTATGGACCATTCTAGCCTTGACAGGTAGGATTAAAAAGAAACCTTAGAAGTATGAAGAATGAAGTTTTAAAAAATGCTGTTATGAGCATTCTTATATAAGTCTCTTAGTACAGATCACACACATTTCTGTTGAGTATACATTTAGAAGTGGAGTTGCTGAGTTACAGGTTACGAGTATCTTCAACCTTAGTAGATAATGCCTGCCAAGAACTGTGAAAAGTCTGAGATTTTATCCTACTTGCAAGCTAACAAGCTAGCCTGTTACTGTTTTATAGATGCTTGCAGAATATATAAGATGCCTCAGAGACAAAGGATATTTTTAATTCATGGCAAAAGCAGGAATTAAATTAAATCATGGCTTGGATAAAGAAAATGTAGTACATATACATCATGGAATACTATGCAGCCATAAAAAGAAGGAAATCATGTCCTTTACAGCAACACGGATGCAGCTGGAGGGCATTATCCTAAGTAAATTAGTGCATAAACAGAAAACCAAATATCACATGCTCTCACTTATAAGTGGGAGCTGACCACTGAGTACATATGGAAATAAAGATACGGATAATAGACAATGGGGACTACTAGAGAGAAGAGGGAGGAAGGAGGATAAGGGCTGAAAAACCCACGACCTGGGTGATGGGATCATTTGTACCCCAAACCTCAACATCGCACAATATACCCATGAAACCTGCACGTGTACCCCCTGAATCTAAAATAAAAGTTGAAATTAAAAAATAAATTTTACCACTGAAACAACATGCTGTAAGAGCAAAGATGGTATTTTTCTAGCTTTGTAAGCAGTGAAGATTATTTTATCTAAAAGTTGAAGATATTTTTCCTTTTGGAAAATAATTGGGATGTAACTTCTGGGACGTTTTTCAGTGAATATCAAAGTGTTTCAAAGAGGTTATTTTTCACTATGCATAACAATTTGTTTTGCTTTCTTTGCTTGATTTCAACTGCCTGGCATTAATTTTAGTTTCCATAGCAGCAATAGTAAGCAATTGGCATTGGAGTAGCCAGATTTGCTGCAGATATCAGAATCTCACCATAAGAAATATTTTAAGTAGCCCTGGTGTTGGACTCCTGTACTTCTCTTCTGACACAACAGAATTTGCTAATTTTAAAATGACACACTTAACATTATTAAACATTTTCAGAGCTATTTAAAAACCTGTAAGATGGCTGCGCATGGCGACTCACACCTGTAATCCCAGCACTTGGGAGTCTAAGTCAGGCAGATCACCTAAGGTCAGGAGTGACCATCCTAGCCAACATGGTAAAATCCCATCTTTACTAAAAATACAAAAAAATCAGCCAGGCGTGGTGGTGGACACCTGTGGTCCCAGCTACTCAGGAGGCTGAGGCACAAGAATTGCTTGCACCTGGGTGGAGGAGGCTTCAGTGAGCCCAGATCACGCCACTGTACTCCAGCCATAGTGACAGAGTGAGAGTCTGCCTCAAAAAATAAATAAAAATAAAACCTGTACGAGTCAGGCATGTGTGTGTGTCTATATTGTATAATTTATATGCAATAAATTACACTGTATGCTGTGATGTTTTGACACATGTATACAGCTGTGAAACAATTACTACAATCAATATAGTGAATATACTCATCCCAAAGGTTTCCTCCTGCCTTTTCTGTAATCCCACTTTTTTCCCCATTATCCCTTGTTCTGTTTAATTTTTTGTCACTATAGTTTGTATTTCTTATATAAAAGAAACTATACAATATGTGCTATGCTTTTGGGTTGGCATCTTTCCTTCATAAATTTTTAGAGTGACTCTGGTTGTTGTGTGTATCAATAGTTGAGTCCTTTTTGTGGCTGAGTAATATGCCATTGTATGAATGTATTACAGTGTCCACCTGTTGAGGGGCAGTTGGGTTGTTTCTAATTTTTGGCTACTACAAATAAATCATTCGTGTAAATCCTTGTATAGATGTATGCTTTCTATTTTCTTTGATAAATTTCCTAGAAGTAAAATGACTGGATGTCATGGTAGGTATATGATTAACTTTTTAAGAAAATGTCAAACTGTTTTTCAATTGGTTGTACCATATACTTGCCAATTAGTAGTGTATGAGAGTTCTAGTTCCTCACATCCTCACCAACACTTGATACTGTTAGTTTGTTAAATTTTAGCCATTATAATAGGTATGTAGTAGTATCTTGTAGCTTTAATTTGCATTTCCCTAATAATGTTGAGTATCTTTTTATGTCCTTATTTGCCACTTACATGTCTTCTTTGGTGAATAACCTGCTTAAATCTTTTGCCTATTTTTTAATTGGGTTGTTTGGGTTTTTTACTATTGAGCCTTGAGTGTCTTTTTTTTGTTTTGTTTTTGTTTTTTTGTTTTGTTTTTTGAGACAGTCTTGCTCTGTTGCCCAGGCTGGAGTGCAGTGGCACGATCTCAGGTCACTGCAACCTCTGCCTTCTGGGCTCCAGTGATTCTCCTGCCTCAGCCTCCTGAGTAGCTGTGACTACAGGTGCGCACCACCACGCCCGGCTAATTTTTTGTATTTTTAGTAGAGATGGTTTTTCACCATGTTGTCCTGGATGGTCTCAAACTCCTAGCCTTAAGTGATCCGCCTGCCTCAGCCTCCCAAAGTGCTGGGATTACAGGCGTGAGCCACCTTGCCCAGCCCAAGCCTCGAGAGTCTTTAAAAATATATTCGGGATACAAGTCATTTACCAGATATTTGCTTTGCAGTTATTTTCTTCCAGTCTCTAGCTTGTCTTTTTATTCCCCTTAAGAGTGTCTTTTTAAACATTTTTATAAATTTAGGTGGTACAAGTGCAGTTTTGATACAAAAGCATCTTTGGAAAGAGGAAGTTTTG